AACACTGGGAGCTCACACCAGTCCCGGCCCAGGGCTGCCTCCTGCCCTTTAACCAGAAACGGCCCTGGGCCTGGGCCGTGGAGTCACTAGCAGGAAAGTGTGGCGAGAGCGGAGGCGAGCCTGTCCACCCCCCCCCTCCACTCGAGGCTATTTCCTGGGGCGTGAGCCTGTCCCCCCCAACTCGAGGCTATTTCCTGGGCGCTGTCCTGGGAGAGCCGGGAAGTGGGGGCCTGGCCGGCTGGGCGGGCAGCCCGCAGAGGTGGCTGAATTCTCACCTCCATCCCAGCTCCTTGCGGAGGCGACTGTTTCAATAAAGCACAACCGACGCCCGAGGCCGGCAGAGCAGCCGCCCGGCGGGGGCTGACACGTCCGCAGACACGGAGGTTCCTGCTGGGCTCGTGGCGGTGGAATGAATGACCACCGTGACTCCGAAAGGCCTGGATGGATGGGCGCGGCCCATGATGGCTCGTCCTGGCTGCTTCCCTCCGCCTGTCCCGGCCTGTCCGTTGGGGTGAGGAGCCACCGCATTGCAGAGGGGGCGTTCGGCCAGGGCAGGGACCCACGGAGGCCTGGGAGCTCCCGGCCAGAGTTCCCCCCGGCGCAGGGAAGCCTTTGCCAGGAGTTCCATGACCTCAGTCCCTCTGCAGGAGCTCCCAGCACAGACCGGGTCAGCCTGGGCCCGGCTCCCGCCGGGGAGATGGAAACTGGAGGACCCCCTGCGGGTCCAGAGCGGGCTCCTCCAGCTCCCGGCCCACAGCCGTCACAGGAGAGCTGGTCACACGGCGGACTTCCCGAACCAGGCCCACCCCCAGGGCCGAGCATGCGCATTGCTAACCGCTCCCAGGCCATGCGGTCACGGTTGCTGCTGGTCCGTCCCAGGGTTTGCGCCCCGTGCTCCAGGGCGCCCCTGGTGGGGAGAAGGGATGAGAACAAGTGAGTGGGACCGCCCATCCCCCCACCACGCAGGAGCCTCCCAATCTACCGTACAAACCGGATTTCCGGGATGAAAGGAAGAACCGCTGATAAAAGGGAGGTGACTCTGGCTGGAAGGTTCTCCCGAGAACGGAGCCGCCCCCTCATTCCAGTGGCGGTCA